AGATGGAACATCTCCTATTCCTTCGTGTCAGGGTCCGTATAATTCCCCTTGAAACATCACAGCCGAAGAAGCCTCACCTTACAGGAGTCACCGGACTTCCCCTGCAAAAGTTGATCAATGTACCGGTGGTTTTCCATGAAACTGCCACTTTTCGCGGTGCCAAAAAAGGAAATGGGGAAAGCCCTGAAAACGCGATGTTCAAAACCCGCGAAAGGGGACATCTAGGTTCGGCCATTGCCTCCAGCCGTGTGGTAGCCAGGATATGACACCATGGTTTAAGCTGAAAACCCCAAACATGGATGGTGTGCTGTTAACCCGGCGGTATATACTGCCCCTTGACTTTTTTCCATTCATGACTTTGACAGCCCTCGGACATACTCAAACTAAACTAATGACCCCAGATAGAGGGCCCCATCACTCTCGGTGTCCCCTTTCAAGAAACCAACATGTTGGGTGTTGTTGTTCAGGATGCCCCTTTCGAGGAGTTTAAAGGGAACCAGCAAGAAAACACAAATCCAGGCTTGATGAGGTCCCCCCCCCAAAAAAAAACGCCCAGGTTTCGAGAAGCTGCCTCTCTGCCCCAAGAAAAACACACAAATGGCCCCCAACTGTCCAACCCTGGGTGCAGCAGAAAGCTGTCGCCCCGAAAAATAATAAACAGAACCACAGCTCAAACCGCGAAGCCAAGTCCCTGGGGCCCTGGCCACCACCGGAGCTCTCGGGGCATCGCGTTCTCCCCCCAGTCGGGCAACTCCTCTCCGCGAGGACTCCCCCCGGAGATCAACGCGGAAGCCCCGCCCCCTTGTGTGCGCCTTTTCTCGGGGGGGGGGGGTGTGGCTCTTGTTGGTTCTCGAGGGGGGGGGGGGGACGGGTTTGGGAAGTGATGTTTGGAGGGACTCGTTTTTGAGGCAGGGAGGGGGTATGCCATAGACGTATAGAGACTAGGTTGCAGCCGAGAGACCAAAACGCCCATACCCTAGAAGATGTTTGAAAGCAGACCCTGAGTGTCCATCATACGGGGGAGATGGCCTGTGAGGTTTCTCGAGGGCGGCTGAAGGGAAACCGTCAAAAAGGCTGCTTTTGTTTGGGGGAACTCTTTTTCGAGGCTGTTTGTTTTGATGGGCGAAACTCCAGGTGAGCCACAAACAGCTTGCTTTTGTTTGGGGTTGTCTTTGAGTTTGACTCGGGTGTCTTTTTTGATGCTACCCTTTTGTGTGTGGCATTAAGGGAACCCAATGAGAAAACTCACCATTGTGGACATTGTGGGGTCCCCCTAAAACAAGACACATTCATTTGTTTGGGAAGAAGACTTGAGGGAAAACACGCGGCCCCATGTTTGCATGGCTCCGGAATCCTGGGAATGCACACCTTGAGGTTGTTTTAATTTTAAGGCATTTGGGTGTGTCTTTTGTCGGGGTTACCTGTTTTGGGGGTTTTAAAGGGGAACCCAAATGGCCATTTTGTGGGCCTCCTAAAACCAGACACGCCCATGTTCAACCAACCAGTTGCCCCAAACTTTGTTGGGTTCCGCCATTTCACTAGACGTGTCTGCCTCACAATATGGTTGGCACCCTTTTTGGATGGCTGCTTAAGGTTCCCCGTTACATTCAGCCGCAAATTGGGCCAACCATATTTTTGAGACAGATCGGCCTCCCAATCGGGCAGCAGCCAGTTTCCTTGTAGATTCAGTTTTAAAAAAAAGAGGTCGCCATGAACAACTTACGTGGGTATGCCCCCTGCCAACCTTCATCGGCCCGAATTGGGTTTGATTGTGACTCACTTGGTTGTTCCAATAGAGGGCTGCTTGCTTTTACAGCCAACACAAACATGGAGCCACGTTCTCGAGTTCAAACGGTCCTCAGGCGGAACGTGCCATCCAGGTCTTTGATAGCGGAACTCCTGCCATCGCGGTGTACCGTAACCCGGCGGCTTTTGAATGCAAATGCGTTCCCTCAAATTAGGAGCCCTCTTTAGGGCAATAGTCAGAGGGAAATCAACAACAAACCAAGGTCCCATGTTTTCAGAAGCATAGCCATGGATAAGACTCCCCACGTGGGGAATCCATGGGCATGGTCCCTTGAGAGGAATCCTTATAATCTAAGTTCTCTACTGGTCCATGACCATCTGTTCGAACCCAAGGATGCTTGGACCAAGGCACACATTGCCAGTGCCATCATCGTGCTCTGCCCGGCTCCGGTGCGCTCAAAGCTACAAGACATATTCCTCCTCTTGGTCCCCCATATAAATCAGCAAAGAAGCGCCTGCCACAAAATCACGCAGAATCCAAAGCCCATTGACTGTTGATTATATCAAGATGAATCTGACCCTTACAACTGTGGGTTAAATGGAAACCCGCACTAAACACCAAACCCTAAAAACCTAGGGGACGGCTGGACCACCAAGAAGATTCATTTCTGGCCCGCACAACAACCCCCAAGCCAGGTAGGAAACCAAACCACCGAAAGCATTGGACACCATGCAATCCCATTTTCGGGGCTCCGTTCCGCCCAAGGTCCTAGCTACAAGCCTGTGTCACAGGCACAAACATCACACGAGAGGCTCACTCTACGTTTGGCCTCCGACGGGCAGAAACAACCTCTGAAGGAATCTTCGTTGTGGATTCCATCTTTTCTTGCAGAGTTCACAGAATCCAGGCCCATTCCTGCAGATTGGTGTAGCCAAAGCGTATGAAGAAGGGCAGCAAGGAGTCATCCGGCACCAGCATGGGTATCTGCGCGTAATTGCCAAGGTTTCCCCAACTGGACATAAACAGTTTGTTACTGAGTCCCCTGCCTTTCTGTGAGACATTTTGGGCTCGTCCCTGTCCCCAACCCCAAAAGCACAAAGACCGGACATTTCGACATTTCGAAGCCGGGAGAACACGGGCGTGGCCGGCGCTCAGCGCGTTTCGCGGCAACTCAGCCCCGGACTGCCATGCTGTAGAGCTCGTAGAAGACCATTTGCTGCGGGTCGTAGGGCAAGAACCTTGGATCGTATTCACTGTCTGGCGGAGTTGATAGAGTCCCATGGGTCAGGTTGGGGTTGAGGAACGCTTGGGAACCAAAAGGAACTTTAGGGGACTCTGAAGTACCCACCCCCCTTGTACCCACCTTCTTGGGGATTCCACACATATTCCGTCGACATTCCATCTTCGGTGGATTCCCAAAACATGGAATCAAACAAACATGGTGGAAAATCAAGCCAAGTGATACCAAATAGGATGCTTGGCTCACAGAAATTGGAAAGAACAAACCTTCCATGAATCATGCCACTTGGAAGCTTCTTGGACCAAAAACGGGGGGAAAGGACTCTGGAGTAAAGGCGCCCTAGTTTTGTTTCAAATGGACCGCCACTGGCATTAGACAGATTGAGTTCCCTCTGGTGTCCAAAGGGGCGTGCTCGTTCTTCTTTCTTTCTGAGGGTACACTCTTTGTGCTGGTTAAAAAGGAGGCCAAATAAATGGCTTGCTGGTTCTCAGGGACGCAATTTTCGGTGTCACTGGAAACATGATCTCCTTGCAGGACACCGAGTTGGATGCTTCAGTTTGGATTCATGCCAATTTGATGTTCCAAGAAACAAGATAGAGCTAAATGGGGTTCTCTCTAAAGGGTGGAACTCAAACATGGTGTTCTTGGGGTTTCAACAAAAAACAGCAAATGTCAGTGTTTCAGAATGAACCGTTGCAGGAACCCTCTAAAGAAACCCTTTTTGGATGGTTTTGAAAGGAAATCAACAGGAAGCCCTTTTTCAAGGTTCCCCTACCATTTCCTTGCAGCACTCCTGGTAGCTCCGAAAGGCTCCCTCTTTGAAACCACATTTGAACACCCTCCCACCAACTAACATGACGTTCGGGGGGTCCTGGTTTGGACCATCTTCCTTTTAAAGGGACCATTCCCGAACGCCAGGTTCCATGTGAAAGACTGGGAGGGTGTATGTGGCTCTGCTTGTTTTTTGAGGGCACCGCTTCTTGGTAGGTTTTCTACAGGTAAAACCAGCACTTTGGGGGGTCCTCTAGCAGCTCACATACCCCCAGCTCCGGAACGGCTCGCCCTCGACGAAACCCGAAGCTTCATCCGAGGCCTCGGCACCGCCGCGCGGTGCCGCGCCCAGTTGGCCCAAGACCGGTCCGACAAATGCTCCAGGCGGACCTCACCAAAACCAGCGAGCTGTGGGCGGCGGGGTTTCCCCCCCAAAAAGACAACACGCTTCCGATCGAGTGGATTGTGGCCCAAAAAAAGTAGCCGCGCTTGTTGGTTGCGACTAAACTGGCAACTAAAACCAAGAAGTGAAGATCAAGTCCGAAATGGAACGAGTGAGTTACAGGGTTCCCTAGATTTACCAAGCTCAACTCACCATGGGAGGGTTATTGCGAACGGTCCCTGCCCCTCACTGATCACTAGGCCAGGGCCGGCATTCAAGGCCCGAATGCTGAATCTGGGCCCTGGATCTACTTACCTTGCTCTGGCTATAGCCCACTGAACAGGCATGGCTTTGGTGGGATACAACTTATAACCATAGTGACAACTAAGCTAAGTCCCAAACCATTGAGTGTTTGATCCCTTCTCAGGGACAAGAACAAGTGTTCCAACTAAGAGGGAAACAATGGTGGGTTTTCTCAGAAACATGGTGGTTCAAAGGGCAAAGGACAACGGACGAGGACATCTTTGTTTGGACAGCCGCGTGTCTGGCACCGATCATAGTGCAGCTTTGGCAGAATGAAGGGGGTTTGGACACAAAAAGGCAACGATGCCGCCTACCTATAAAGGTCTATAAACCAGCAACACCTAATGACATGGCCAACAGGCGCTCACGTGGGATTGTCTCCAAAATGGATGGGGTTCCTTGACTTACCCGTTTTAAGCACCCCACAAAAAGGCGCCAACGAACGTGCACTCGCTCAGCGAGTGAGCGAGTGCAACGACCACATGGTGCGGTTTCCGTATGAGGGTGTCTCAACGTTAGGGACGAATTCCTCCAGGCTCTTGCCCTTGGCTTCCCATCAGCCGGCTCCTCATTTTGAGAACCCCCCTATTCCGTCCATCCTAAGGTATGTAGTGATTTTCGAGACCCCAGATGTGAGCGTGTCTTTCACACATGCCTTTTTCGGTGATTGTTTGAAGGGAAACCCAAAGGGAACTGCACCCCATTGGGGGGGAGCTCATTATTTTGAGAAAACAACTTCGACGACGTCTGTCCCCTTCAATGGAATTCTGGGATGATCGATATTGATTCCGGGGTGTCCCATAGAGTGCACTTCTGGGGGAAGTGCCCCCCAACACACCGGGTTGATCAATCCACGGTTCAGATTCGCCCACCAGAATGTCCTATATAAAAGTCACCTGGGATTGTCTCAAAGTAGGGGTAACCCAAACAATTGTTGTTCTCCTTCAGATTCCTTTTAAAACCACCCCCAACATGAATACCCTCAACACACAACCATCCACTCACCCACCCAGCAAGTCGCATAAGTAATCCTACAAAGGCCCCTCCCCAGATCTCGGCATCTTGACCAAAGCCCCCGGGCAAATCGAGTGGCATTGCTCTGGAAGTGCTTCAGAGGAACCCGCGCCTTCTCCTACGATGAACATCGGATTGAAGTACAGACCCAGGATTCCAGTTGGTTCACCTGCATAAACCACGTGCATGGATTGAAGCCTGTCATGCGGCTGTGTCTTTTCGAGGCTTGGTACCCTTTTCAGACAAAAGGACACCAAAAGGAAGGCCTGTGGGTGCCCCCTTTGACATACTTCGGATCAATCTGGGCCATACTCAGAGGCATCACCAGAGTCAATGGATCCGCACGAGGAACCACCGAGCAGTGTGGTCCAGATTCCGTCTTCACACCACGCGTCCCGACTCCCGACTCCCCGACTCACTACTTTTCAAGCCTGGCACCATCCCTTGCAAACGAGAAGCGTGTCTTGGGAGGACGACCAGAATGAGTGCAAACAAATGCGCTTCAAATCTCGCGAAAGGGGACGAGTAGGCTACATGCTCAGGGTCAAAGTCAGGGAGTCCAGGAAAGTGCCCCCCTCAAAGCGAATGCTGTTGACCCCGAACCAATAAACCCGTCCTATCAATAGGGAAGTTCCCTCCAAAAGTTGCGAATCCACAAAAAATACCCCTTATTGACCAACCAGGGGCCTACTAATCCGAGTTTAATATTATTCTGAAGCATGGGCTGAAAAGTTCACGGCCAAAAACCGGGCGGAAACAGGAGAACTAGCTGCAGGCATCATTATCCATTGAGCTAAGGTTGAACTTTTGAGTCCGAATCAAAACTGATATTGGCGGGGCCTACCCAAACCCACAGTAAAGAATCTGTTTAGTAGCGTACCTGGTCCCTTTGCCATGACATCCTCAAACTTGCTCTCTCAATGGTGGCGCGGGCTTCAAATCCAAAGCCAAGCCAAGGGTTACCTGGTTTTCAGGAGGGAGGCCATCGAACAAAAAATGCCCGTATCCAGAACTTGCGTGATAAAGAATTCGAAAGGCCGATTTTGGCGCAGCTATACTTGGTATCGCGTATTCACCTTGATCTACCTGGGTTTCTCATGGCTCCATGTTTGGATAACGGGTTCTTTCATCCACCTCACCCCCAACATGAGCCTGTCTTTTTTGGGGACACCCAAACAAAAAATAAGTGTTCAAACCACCCCAAACAAGGTACACCGCCGAAACCATGTGGTTTCTTCCTAAACGGGGAGTGACTGTTGCTGGTCGTATGGCGTTGCCACTCGCCGTCCTCGAGCTCTTGCAAGGCTTGCACAAAGTCGTTGAGCACTAAGGCCTGGCGATAGGGACCCCATTCCGATCGAGTCGATTGGCCACAAAAAGAAACGGAACCTTTACTGCTAAGATGTGACTAAAGTCCAGGAACTCACGGAGTGAGTTCGGCGAGTCCAACACCGATCTACCATCGACCTGACCCAACACCCAAACCCCAAAACTCATTCTCTGAGGTCTTGAGGGGTGTTTGCTTTCTTGCGAAAGGGGAGCCCTATTCGGAGAGACAATCTTGTAAACCAGAAGGGTTACAAAAGAAGGTACAAAAAGGCTGCACCACCTTCTGTGCCAAGGTTCAACAGGGAACCAGCCAAATGGTTCCTTAGTTGAAAGCTATGGATTTGGTCGATAGGCCGAGAAATGCGAGAGGTGGCCTCCAGGGTTCAGTAGGATATTCTGTTCCAGGGGGTTCCCTTTGAGCTGTTGGCCCTCCACCTGGGCTTATTTGGGTATGAGTCAACATTATCCATCAGGGGCCCGCAGGTTTTGGTCCATGTTTCCATTTACCAGGGTTCCATGTGGGGTACCTATTTTTGACCCACAGCCATTTGACACTGTCAAGCTTGCAAAACGACCGGACGGCACCATGTCCGTTGCCACGAAGATAGACTTCGTGACCAAGATCTTCGCAAGCCTCGGATCATGAAACAAGTGCTGGGTGTCCGCTTGTCCGCTAACAAATCCTTCGGAATTTGTTGAGCTCCCCTTATGGGACAACTTTAATTTTGTGTTTTTTTTCAAAGGGGAGCTTGAACGGGATTTAGTGCCCTGCGACTGATTGCGACCCCCACCCTGAAAAACAAAAGCGAAAGGCCCAACCTGCCCCGTAACATGGACACCCTCAAAACTGTCCATTCACCGCCGGCGCCCTGTAAATCAGCTGACAAAGGCGTTTTTTTGACTCGGGACTCTGGACAGCCTGTAGAATCAAACAGACCCCAACACAACGCGGGTTTGAGTGTCGCAAGGCACCTTTCGGCGTGAAGGGATGCGTGAAGTGCTTTTCAAGAACCTGGCCAAGAGGGATTTATCTTGAAGCAGGCTTCCTTTCTGATGAACCAGGGATTTCGCTCATTACTCCTCCCAGTTGTTCAGTGGCAAAACCAACCATTCCAAAGGGAACCACCAAGTTGAGACGCCCCACTTGGGCCCCGTCGGGCTGGGCATGTAGCTGGCGGCTGTGTATAGGCCCAAAGGCCTAACCTCGGCGCATGAGTCATCAAAACCTAGGGTGCAGCCTCCCAAGTGGTTTGGATCCAACCAACAAGGGGTTCCCGACAAAAAAACACACACACCCAAATTCAGTTTGCCCTGGATTGGTGGTTCCCCATTTAACTCTACAAGAACCCTATAGACCTATAGAACCCTCCCCAAGCCACCAATCCAAAGCGGTCTAGCGAAAGTGCTGGAATGGCAAGCGCCATTCGAATTTTAATAAGTTGATGGCCCGTGACGCCAGTCTCACGCGAAGATACGGGCTACGAACTGTTCTGGGAATTTGTCAGTATCACAGAAATTTACAACCCCCCTCCCCAGCACCAATTTCTGCCATTGCAAAGAGAACGGAAAGGAGGGAGAGACGAGGGCGGGGCAGAACTAGACAGACCAAAACCAAGGGTTGGCGATTCAGGTTAAGTTTGAACCAGCGCCAAAAACAACACCCACACCGGGCTGTCCTCTGATCCCCTACTAAAAGTGACTAACTAGTGGGTTAAATGGAAACCCTTACTAAACCAACTAAAAACCAAAACAAACTAAGGAACCGGATGGTGGGGAGCCACCAAAAATTGCTCCAAGAGGAGGCGCTGGGCACTTAAACAAAATTCGCTCCCATCAAAGCCGGGCCCACGAGCGGTCACTGATGCCTTCACAAAACCATTCAAACAGCACAGACATGTAGAACCGCCTTGTGACGCAAAGAACGGCGTGTGGTTTATGTCGGTGTGTCTTCCCCTTTCTTTAACCAGGAAGTGTGAACATAATTGAACGATGTGTGTGTGTGTGCCCGTGTGTGTCTAAGTGTGCGCGTGTGTGTGTGTGTGTGCGTCGAAGCGTGTGTGAATCTAAGTGTGTGTGTGTGTGTCCGTTGTGTGCTTTCTTCCCAACATGGCCTGGCGTTGCGACCCAGCATGCCCCACTCATTTACCCTGGAATTCTCACCAAATGCAAAAAAGTACAGCAGCGGCCCATCTACCAAGGTTTTGATTGTTGCTAGAGATAGCGATGCTGTCTGTCGTGTCATCTGGGCCTTTGCCCAGGAACCAATACCGTGCGCGAGTCCATGTTCATCGCTTACCTTGCATCGCAAGGACAATGCCTGTGCAGAAGGCAAGGTGCCTCCGTAGCCGCAGGAGTCAGGGCGACACGCTACACAATCCGCAAGATGCGCAAGAAACAAGCCCTCATCTTCATCTCCATTCAGCTCCCTGCCTGCTGGACCCTTCCTGTTCGAGGCAGTGACGGGCCATGACCTCTCTGTACAAATACGCGATCTTACAGGAACGCCTTGCGACTGGACCCATCGCATTTGGCGCATCTCCAACCTGACTATCGGCTTTGGAGCTAGGCCTCATTCGGAAGGCTTAGTCATTTCATGTGGTGCCTCGTGCCGTTCCTTGACAAGCAGAACCAGCACTTGCCCCTGTCGTTGATCCTCATTCGCAACCAAGAACCAAGTCAAGTTTTGGGGCTCCTGTCCAAGCAACCTCTTCACCACCGCATGGACTTTTCCATTGCTATGTGAAGCCACTGGATGTTGATCCACCTACAACCTCGCGGCTCCCAATTACACGTTCAACTACTTGAAGGTCCTCGAGAGCTTCATGATTTTCTACGGGGCCCTTACGGGGCCTCTTGCTGTGGATCCAGGCGCAAACTAGCGCCACATCGCTGCAGATCCGGCGGGCACGGTCTCTTGGCCGACACCTGCGGTTTCGTTCTCCTGGCTCTGCTGATCCATTTTGGGGTCCTCAACGAGGACTTGCTCTATGGGATCGAGCATCACCTTGCCCTTCAAGGACTCCGTTACGACCTCTGCGTGGGCCCACAAAGAAAAACAAGTCAGGTTCCAGGTTGCGCGCCACAGCCTGCGCCGGACGCCCGCCCTTGACCTCGATCAGCTTCATACCTCCTTGTTGTCCAGCAGCTCGGGGCGGCAGCTGGCCCTTGACAGCAGCCCAATCCAATAGAAGACATCTCAGCGGCAACTCCACGCCCCTTTGCGAGGCCGCTTGGGCAACGGCGAGGCACTTCCGCCCCAAGTCGCCCCGCGCGACTGCAGCCTCCGCCAAGCGCCCCTCCACCTCAGTAGCTGCAGCGGCCTTTGCAGCTCTCCGCCTGTGGCGCTTTGCCCTCCGCTTGGCCGCGCGGGCTTCGCGGAGGCGCAGCACCAACTCCTCTTCACTGGCGTCAGCGGCACCAGGACCTTCAGCCGGCACCCCAGGGACCGTGACAAACGGGGCCGTAACAGTAACAGCTGGCCTAACAAGCACAGCTGTCACCGCCTGCACGGTACGCCTGGGCGCTTTGGCTAAGCAAGCAGCGCGGACCGCAGCGGCGAAGAGCGCCCCTGAGTCTGCTGCCATTGCTCCTCTGGTCAGGGTACCTAACATGGGGGGTTACTGCCTTGACCAAGCGTTCGCTCGAGCCTTGTTTTGATTGTTGCTCAGTCCTCCCCAACCAACAACCAACTCTCAGTATATTCGAGGTGGTTTTGCCAACCATGTTGAAGTTCTGTTGAAGCGATATATGTCTCAAACATTTCCAACCAGAGAAACTTACTGTCATGGGTTCGCAGGCGTCATGGACAATGTCCCGCGAAAACAGTGCGCCATTTAGGACCCCTTTCATCTGTTCATGACAACACGTCTCACATGTTTCATCCTTCCGGAGAATCGCAAGTTGAGGAATTCCCGTTTGGTGTCCAACTTGAAAAAACAAGAAGCCTATGGTGGCTCCAAGGGCCCTACATGTCTGTCTCTTGATCGGGAGGCTCAACCCTAATCCTACAGCCCAACGGAAGCCAGAACTCATTGCAACAGATTCCCTGAGAAGCAAGCGATGCCCAAGCAGAGAACCGGCTTGACCGGGATCCGCAAAATGCACTGCAGGTTCCATGTCTTGTGCAACCAAAAAGCCACGGGCACGTGGATGCCGGAGTGCCAGTAGATGAGTGCCGCGAGATACGGAGACATGCCTCAGACGCGTGCCCCAAACACCAAGATCAAAACTTAACACTTGCTGGTGCGATAGGTAGGGAATGCGGGGATGAACCCAGGCTTTGGTCCCCTTGAAGGAAACCACCAATTGGATGGGTTGCAAGGGTCATTCCATTTCTCATTCCCTTCAAGAGCCAATGCCTGGTGAGGCTGGATTTTTTGTGAACCAGATTCAGGCCGTGCCCTTTCAAAACAAGAAGGGCGGAACTTCAGCCCAATAGCTCGTGTTTTCCGGAAGTTTTTGTGGGAATTTTGGTGAAGTCTCCCCGCCCGCAAAGGCGGCTTTGCATCCAAAGCTTCCGAGCTCATTGCCCACCAGGTCCCTTGGGGGCGCCCTGTGTCGGCTTCCTAGGTTTTCAGACACACACTTAGACTCCAGATGGAGGGATCTAATCTTGAGTACAACTGGCAAGTCTCGGCTTGGATAAGGTTCTGCATGAATAAGTCTCGGCTCGCAATGCACTCGGTTTCCCTCTAGTGTCGAAAACGTTACAAGGTTCAACATGAAGCACACACAGCGAGAGAAACAACGGGCCAAAAAGACTTTGCACAACCATTGCAGGTACACAGCTGGACGTCTCCAACTGCTTCACCAGGGTCACGAGAGTGTCTTCGTTGGCGCCCCCTGCTGTCGTGAAAAAAGGGGATTGTATGGTGGCAGGGAATTCTGCCACTCCGCACACACACGCCCCTCAAAGAGGGGCGAGAAACACTTTTTCGGGGGGGGAGAAGAAGCGCCCGAAAGACGGACGAAGACCCCAACAGAAAACAAACGGAGCAAGCACCCAAAAGAAACAGAAAGCCCCACGTTGGGTCTCCGCGGGCAAAACCCCAACCAAGAAACACGAAAAACCGGGAACCCGAGTTTTAGGGTCACCGCCGAGGGCAAAGACCCCAAACAGCCCAGAAACCCTCCTAAACCTGGAAGACGACCACCACCGCAAAGTTGAAGACCGAGAAGAGGACCAGGCCATCCCTAAACGGGCGAAGAGGAAGAACAGGAAGTAGTTGGAAAAAGGGGGGGGGAAGGAAACGAAAGAAAGGAAGAGAGAAAGAGAGAAAGAGAGAAAGAAAGAAAGAAAGAAAGAAAGAAAGAAAGAAAGAAAGAAAGAAAGAAAGAAAGAAAGAAAGACAGAAAGAAAGAAAGAAAGAAAGAAAGAGAGTGAAAGAGGGAAAGAAAGAGGGAAAGAAAGAAAGAAAGAAAGAAAGAAAGAAAGAAAGAAAGAAAGAAAGAAAGAAAGAAAGAAAGAAAGAAAGAAAGAAAGAAAGAAAGTGTGCGTATTTAAGGCGACGCATCCCGCCCAGAGAAACACGAGGACAAAGCCAATGCTCGAGGAAGAGGGCGTCGAATCCCGCAGAGGGGCCATGAGGAAGAGCACGATGAAGCAACGGTAGGGGACGAAGACGGCAAGCCAAACAGCGCGAGGGGACCGAGGACCACTAGGCAAACAAGAAGAGGACGACGACGAAAAAGGCAAACAACGCGGCAGAGAAGAAGCCATCCCTAAACGGGCCAAGAGGAAGAACAGCAACGCGCGGAAGACGGAAGGCCGGAAGAAGGAACGGGAGGAAGGAGAAGCCATCCCTAAACGGGCGAAGAGCAAGACGACGGACACGCGGACGACGAAGGCGAGGAGGGAGGGTGAAACGTATCTATGAAGAGGTGGCTGTCTTCCCTTTAGTGAAACCTCGTTCCTGCTTAAACGTGAAATTCCGCTGGTCTATGATAAGCACGTTGAGGTCAAATTTTCCGGCGAACCGGCCCGGGGTCACACGATGGGTACACCCGAGGGTCCCCCACGAATGGGGTGTTCACACTTAGACTCCAGATGGAGGGATCTAATCTTTCGAGTACAACTGGCAAGTCTCGGCTTGGATAAGGTTCTGCACGAATAAGTTTCGGCTCGCAATGCACTCGGTTTCCCTCGAGTGTCGAAAACGTTACAAGGTTCAACATGAAGCACACACAGCGAGAGAAACAACGGGCCAAAAAGACTTTGCACAACCATTGCAGGTACACAGCTGGACGTCTCCAACTGCTTCACCAGGGTCACGAGAGTGTCTTCGTTGGTGGCAGACTCTCGGCCCTGCTGCCACCCCCTGCTGTCGTGAAAAAAGGGGATTGTATGGTGGCAGGGTATTCTGCCACTCCACACACACACACACACGTATTGACCTGGACAGTTTTTGAGTGCGGCTGAGGTGCAAGCAAAGCTGTTCATTCCCACCGCCAGCTTGGTCTGAAAGGCCTGCAATGCGATGTCTCGCAATATCTGAATGAAAGAATTTACTCGGGTATGGGCTTGTATGGAGCAGTGCTCAAAACCTATCGACTGTTGGATTCACCAAGAAGTGTACAAAGGTTGATACTGGCCTCCCAACCATCCTTGTTAAACCAGGTAGGAACTGAACCGCCTTCTACAAGTGCCCTTTTGGGGGGGGGGGGGCACTTGGACACACTGTACGCCCATTGGATTATGTAGTCAGTCATTGTTTGGGAATTCCCTGAAAGTCGTAGCCACTTGGAGCTTAGCCGCACGGCTCGCATCTCTCGCAACGGCCCCTGGAAGTTTGAGCATGAAAGTTCGCTTCGACCCGAGGGAGTTTGAGTTTGGTCGCCGCCCCCTTTGGAAGAAAAGCCAAGAGCACAAATCAGCATGCAGGTATGCTTGAGCAATCTCTCCAGTTCTTGTGTCAGGAGTACTCTCCACGGAAACACAAATGAGATGTGAAGGACATCAGGGTGGCGTCTTCGCCTGGCAGGCGTGCGTTTACCCGGAAAGCAATCCGACAAACACAACATGGAATCTCCTTTTAGGGGACCCCCGAATAGGGGGTTCCTTCCGCAAATTTGTAGTAACCGGAACTTCCGCAAACCGAAGCTTTCCCATCGTTTTCCCAGATCGCCCGACCGAAGGTTCCCCCTCGCTCGGCCTGGTAGAACTCTTCCTCACACGACTGAATGACCCAAGCAGGAGCCATGGGTCATGTCGTGTGGATTTGGATTTGCAAAATTGTGGTTTTTCCTGTAGTTTCCCCTCAAAGCCCCTTTAGACAAGTTTCAGGAGTCATTTGGCCGAATCCCGTGAGGCGGTTTGTGGAGCCCCTTTTTTTGATGGTTTGAACGGAAGAAAGACCAAAAGGAAAGCCGAAATCCACTTTGGGGCTGAGAGAAAACACACCAATGTGCGACCTTTGGCTTGTTCCCCCGTCTTTTCAACGACTCGGACTCCGCACTCCTGTGGCTGCCCCGGCAGCAGATACGCCCCGAATGGGTTGCCAATGTAGCCGAAGATGGTCTTGCCCATTCCTGCCATGGGCATGGGGCTTTTGGTTTCCCTTTGAAAACTACAACAACAACAACAAAAAATAACGGGGTACCCTCAAAAGCCAACAGAATCGGTCCTATGCTTGGTACTGGTATCCTGTTGGCTTCCAAAAAAAACAAACCATTTCGAGAAGCGCTCAAACAGTTACACTTTGTCCAACAAAGCAAGGAAGTAAACGTTTGGAGCCTTTTCAAGACGACAGTAGCCTTCCAAAACCCTCCGAGCATCCACTTCCGTGATTGCTGTGAAGCGGGTGCGCACATTCTCCTCCTACAGTAATGACTTAATTTGGTGAAAAAGTGCCACACAGACACCTTCTGAATATTCAGGGCCTGATGCTCGCCGGGGTTGTGGGAATTCCCCACTTCCGTACTCGAAGGCGTTGACAATGACTTGTTCTTCCCACAAAGGGAACCGGTTCCCTGGTGCCAAAATGGGAATAAACCCCTTCAACCCTTTTGAGATGAGACCTGCTTTTGGAGGCGCCGAAAGGAGACTCGATCCTCTTGCGGGTTTTTGCTGCCCCATCTTCATCTGTTGGAAGTAAGCTGTCTGGGTACGTAGCTAGCAGGACTGTTTTCTAGCACGATTTCATCGTGGCCCGTCAAATGCACCTCTCTCAACCAAAAGCCAGTCAAGGCTACATGCGCAACGCATGTGGTGTGGGTGCACCTGCAAAAGGGGATCCTTCGCATAAGCAGAATCCTCGCAACGTGCCATGTCTTCCAACTGAGCGCCTCTTTCACCCGCTTGCTCAGATCTGGCAGCAACATGGTTAAAATTACGAGCCTTCAGTACAGAACCACCCGCTGAAATAGCCCAACTTCATCGCTTGCTGCTGGATTTTTGCTTTCTGAGGGCTCGGCCGAGGAACATCTGGCAAAAGAAGGGTGGCTCGGAGCACATCAGCACCTCGCTGCTTGCATGAAATGGGTGGCTCCTAGTTTTTAGGACGTAAATCCCCAAGATGGCCTCGGTTTTTTGCTGTTAGTTTCCATTTAAATCCACCGAAAAGGATACCCTGAACAAAAACACACACACACACCTGCAAATCATAGGTGTCCTTTCTGCTGGGCTTGTCGCTACGCCATTGCCCTTTTGGGCGTGGACGAGCTTCGGCTGGCTCCAGCCAGTTGGTAAATATCCTATGTGCAAGGGATGTTGTGTGAGTTCCACTTGCATTCCTTGAATTCAGGAGGTTGCTCTCCTTGTACTCACTGTTGTTCGTGCGATGTAGGTTTACGCCCAGGAGCCTACGGGTAGGTTTACATCAGAGGCCCTCAACCAAACCAAAAAAGGACACCTATGGCTTGATCCTTCAAGGGAACTGCGAGGATCCCTCCTGCGAGGATCCGAACAGCAGAAGTGGGTCCTCGCTGGCCCTGTGCACATTCCTGCAAATCGAATCGGGCTTGGGGAACTTCGAAGCCAATACAAGTCTTGACTATAGTGGATTTGGCTAGTACTCATTTAGACCATAGTACACATCAATGTGTAGGATCGGAGTGTCCTCGTTTTGAGCAAGCACTAGTCTTAGGAGATCCATGTCATGGGCGTATGTGCGATACTTCACCCCTTAAACGTCACCCAACAAAATGAGAATCTCACTTAAAAAAAACGACCCCACCCCCCAAAGGCTGATGTTTGAAGTAGTTGTACAAAAGGGGGCAAAAAGGAGATGAACTTCAAGTTGGAACCCATTTGGACATCAAGAACCCATGGCTGGATGTATGCAAACCGATTTCAAGGGAATGCCAATGGAGCCAACGTTGACCGAGTGCCGGGCATCTGCTTTTCGTACTCCCTCATCCACCTCCGCTCGGTCAAACATCGGACTGGTTCCTCAAATGGGCCCGTTTCTTCTTCCGCCGCCTTGGACCCCCTATCGGTGGGTTTGTTGTTTACGATTTGGACCCACAAAATGGCTTTCGGAGCTACACCGAACCGAGCCAAAGAAACAGAATATAATATAATATGGGTGTGTCGTTTTTTTAGGGCCCCCCGAAAAATACGGGTTTTCCTTTCGGTTTCCCTTGTAAAACACAAAGAAGGGGCGTACACGCTGGCAAAAAACCAGCCCATATTTGTGGCAATGGGAACATAGGGATCACCCAGGTTGACGCATCTAAGCACAACCCGTCTCATGAAACTCGGATGCGGGGAATCCCTCCAAAAATGGATTGAACCCCCAGTAAAGGGCCCCCCCTATTGATCAACTAGGGGCCTGTTAATTCAGGGTTAACATTATTTTCAACCAACTTGACCTAAAAGAACACCTAATATCGAACGTGTGTTTTTCTTTGGAGATTAAAGAGAACGGCCAGGATTCGAAGTTCCATGTTGGGCTCCTTCACTTCCTGGCCAGAAACCCCTTTGTAACTCTCCTGCAGGCGAGATTTTTCCGGGGTCAACATTGTGTTTTTCTTTGGGGGCGGCGGGAACCCCCAGTTTTGCGAGAGACATTTGCTATTTTTTTTGGCGGGGACCTCCTTTTTCCTCAGATAGCTGAAAGCTACGTACAGGCGTTCTAACTTCAAGGAAAGTAGGGTGGGTGAGACTCAGAATTCCGGCCAGGTGCTGTGTTGCAGGATGCTGCTGCCACAAAGTAATACTGTTATACAGGGTGCTGACTCGGGCTGTTGCGTAGCTGCTGCAGGCCGAGACTCGGAGTTGTGCAGGGGTGCTGCTGCTGGGTGCTGTTGCAGGGTGCTGCTGGAGGCCAAGACTCAGAGTTGCGGGCGCTGCTGGAGGGTGCTGTTGCAAGGTGGAGGCCGAGTGCTGCTCAACATGGTGCTGCTGCACTGCCGGGTGTATTGGAATGGGTATCTTTAGTTCGTTCGCTGACGCTATCTGGGGTCTGTGCTGGTATAATTTGAGAGAAAGCCAGGTTGCTCGAGTTCAAATTCAACACCTACTTGTGTAATCTTAACAATGGATTAATAAACGCCTGGTTGATGAATAGGCCCCTTTCAGTTTGAATCCTTCACTTTCGTGGTGACACCCCCCCCCCAATCAACAAAGACACTGGGATCCCAATCTTGGAGGGAGGCCAAAGGACAGTACCGCTGATGAAAGTCGCTTCCCACTGAAGCGTGATGTCTCAGCATGGTGTCTACCTCAAGCTTTCATGACTCAACTTTCGGAAGCTTCCCTGCCTTTGACGAGCACCCCTTGAAGCGATGTTTAAAGGGGACATACAAGCAACTATGTTGGTCGTTGGCAAACCTGGGAAGGCTGACACCATCGGCATAGTGTGTCAAATGATTCAGCAAAGGTAGAGATGCATTTAGTTCCCAGGAGAAGTGGGAACACGGGATCGTCTCCAAATGAGAACACGGGATCGTCTCCAAATGAGATATGGCAGTGGTTGTCAAAAATAGGTAAACATGGCTTACCCTGGCATAACAAATAAACAAACAGGGACTAAAACCTGCGTTTTGTCCATATCCTGGTGGTGACCAATTTTTTGACCCATACCCATACGTGAGTCTTCTCAAAGGGTTCACGCGATCCGATGGCCCACCTCCGCGATGGCCCGGAACTCCCGCTCCAACTGATCCGCTTCAGCCACGTGGGGGAACCTGGCGAAACAAAACCAACAGGCAGGCGAGGGGTCGACCCACCGCTGAAGAAGGCTCTCCACGAAATGTAGGCAAACCAGCCTTCGTTTGTTTTGTGCTCCAGGGTTTACATGTTTTGTGACCGGAGCTGGAACTGTGCTTCTCCCAGGTTTCACATGATGTGTCTTCGTTTGTGAAAGTGGTAAATTGGAAGCACTGGGAACGCAGTTCGCCGTTGAAACCAAGCTTGCCGGCTTGCCTTGGTGCTCAGTAGATTGACCTTCCAGATATTCTCCACTTGCCTTGTTTTGGAGGTTAAATGGGTATTTTAGTCAAAATAGGTTTTGGAGCCCCATAAATTGAAGGCTTTCCCCTTGGCTCCTAAGGGTGTCCTCAAAAAGACACCTCAAGAAGCTCATCGGAACTGAAAGGCACGCCCAAGACAATATTCCTCTAAACACCCAGGTTCCAGGTTGTCGAACTTGTTCGAAGGCTACTTTTTGGTGTCCTTGAAGCAAATGTTGAATCAGGATGCTTTTCCAACGTCCCCCAAAACAAAGCCACGAGATTCGACGTCATCTGCTTGGGTCTGAGAGCGAGGCTTAGGCTCCCTGAGCCAAAACCCCCCAGTCGCGAGAAGTTCCTTGGACTCACCACACCAAAAAGAAGAATTCGACCCGGGTGCCTCAACAACTGGAGGGGCTGAAAACAGAAGTCGATGTTTTGCGCCCCGTAACGCCCGCCGGCGCCGCTTGTTGAGCTTGTTCAAGGCCGGGGCTCGAGGTATCACATGCTTTGTCAGAAGCTCCTGGGAGCCGCGAGGCTCCTTCTTGCGATCAGCAAAAAAACACAAGGGGCGAAGTGGGTGCGTCTCAGGGGAATCCCATGTTGGCGTTCCGTAATCTTTCCCTTTGAATCCACTCCAAACAGGGCCTCAAAATGACAGACACAAGTCGAGCAAGAAGTCTCAAATGACCCTGCAAGGCTGGAGCCGCCATGCTGCTTCATTTGTCGGGCAAGAAGTCTGTTCGGGGTCAAAGCGAGAGTGACACCCCGCCACCCAAAAAAAGGCAAACTAAAACAAACAAAACAAAAAACACATAAAATAGGCGAGCCTCCCCCAAGTCTGTTCGGCAGGGGTGCGACATTGAGAAGGGGTGCGACATTGAGAACTGGATGAACCCCAAGACTCACATGACTCTTGTGGGCAGCGAGGAAAATTTGCCCCATCCGGTTTCAAAGTCAGCAAGTCCCAGCCTCCCTGCCACACACACACACACACACGAAGCAAAGGTCTCTTCAAGATATCCTCCGGGGGCGTGCTGGCGGATTGTTGTAAAGGGAAACCATAACCCATTCGACAACCAGAAACAGTGAAAGGGGTACGTCTCCAAATCGACAGTCTCTAGCCCGAAGTGGGCGGGCTTCACAACGCATCCTTTGGGTTTCCCATAAACCCAACCCAAAAAGGGCACTGGGCCCTAAGAAATCGCCGGAGTCGGCTCGCTGGCTAAGCCCAGCTCGGCAAAGGCGGCGTTCTGCGTGCAGCGGCCCATCTCACCGAGGTTGCAGTAGTTCCGCGCCAGGACCATCCTTGGCACCAGGGTTGGGTGGGTGGTGGGTGTGGGTGGGTGTGGGTGGGTGTGGGTGGGTGTGGGTGTGTGTGTGTGTGTGTGGGTGTGTGTGGGTGGGTGTGGGTGGGTGTGGGTGGGTGTGGGTGGGTGGGTCCATGGTGGAAACCCGCCAAAAGACTAGCATGAGTTCGTCCATCCACAGTAGTACCTTCCATAATGGAAATAAAATAACAAATGGATGAGAATCCAATCATTTCTCTTCTAGACGTCCCCTTCAATCGTCACCCCAAAGCTCACTTTGAAGTGGTCCAAAGATGATGTGTATCGTCTCCCATGTTCCTCAGCACTCCGATTGGGGTATACTGCTTTGGAGTTGGTTCCCTTTTTTTTGTGGCTGCCGAAAACCTCGAATGCTTGAAGAAACTATTTGAATCCAAGGATCCTGTGGGTAAAAGATTCGATCCGAACCCCAAAAAAAAGAAACGCCAGCCAGCTCGCTCGGATCTCTTCGCCAGGCTGCCCGGCTCCACCGAAATCTCCCAGGATCCCGCCTCGATCAAGCCCAAGGCGCTGCGCAAAGGCAGGAGCTTGCCCTGAAATAGGACTTTGGACCCGCAAGATCGGTTAAGGGCTATGTGTTCCTTTTCTTCCCTTCTAAAAAAAGCTCAACAAAAGCTGCCATCCAAAGAACAACCACCAGTTTCGACCCCAGATGGACGTAGAACCTGGGGTTCGAACTGGGAGATTCCCATTCCCATGGCTGTCTTTGCAACTCTCCCAGTAGACCCGGCTCGTGAAATATGAGACCATCCCCTAAAAGTCGTTCCGGTTTCCAATAAATTGGCTTTCCGTTGTTCCCCTTGAAATACCAAGTAGCGGATCTGAAATCCATTTTGAGAAAATTCCCGCATCCCTTTTTTTCAGAGGAGGATTTGAGTATGGCTGGCCGGGCGACCGGAGTACTTCTTCGACCAACCGGCCTGTTGGGCACACCAGCCAAAGGGCCAAAGGTAAAAAAAAGGTTAAAACCAAGCTTGGGGTTGCTGGAAGCCTAAGCTCCAAGCCGACAGGAGCTTCCAAATGCTCTCGGGCTCCATCGCCAGCGTAGCCTGGGCTCGCTTTGCTCGGAACAGCCTACAAGCTCAGTCACAAGGATGAGGTCGGTTGTTTACTTCTTTGGCCAGTGAGGCTCAGGTATGTTTACTCCATTGGTGCAGCCGTTATTTGGGATGCTCAAAATTAGGGTCCCCTCCTGTTTGGTTTCCCTCTATCAACTTTAGACCCGCCCATTTTTAGGCAAGCCCATTGTTTCAACAGTGGAAAGGTACCTGGCTGCACCAAAGAAGAGTCAAGTTTTGTGACCCGATGGACTACAATCCAGGGGTTATGTTTACAGGGCAGCCACTGGGTTTGAGCTGGGTTTAAGTCTATCACTCAGCGTCTTGACAGATTCTGTGGTGGCCATAGCCTTCAAAGGATGAAAGCGCAAAAACGCTCGCCACGCGTAAGCAACGAGCTGTTGCGAAAGCTATCGGCCCTATTCTGGGCATGTGCACGCACGCGGACTCACCTACCCACCCACCCACCCACCCAAGCACGCACGCACGCCACGCACTCCTACAACCACCAGGAATCTAGGAATGAACAACAAATGATTTCGCTGTATTGATGTAAAATCCGGCCAAATGTGGGCCAGATGCAGGGAACAAAGCGGAGATCATCATCAACAACCCAGCCGGCTCTCAAAGCACCAGCATCTATCAAGGCTTTCCACACACACACACACAAACACCCACGCACGCACGCATGCACGCGCGCATGCGCCCGCACGCCCGCGCACCGGCATGCCTTAGTATTGGCACAAAGATAGCTGTGATTGCTGTCGAACGCTGTTGCTGTGGGATTGGGAAAGCTGTGGTATGGACTTCTTTCAACACAGTTGTCGGCATTTCGTGCTGCCATTGCACAAGTTTTGCCTGAGTTGCCGGGTTGGGACTTGCCTTTTGCCCCCGAACACATTCAAGAACGACGTTCGGAACCTGAAAAAAGGGGCCAAAAGCAGGAAAGCCCGTCAGGCTCCCTTTCATTCCCCGTAAACAACACAGCACGACCCCTCGCGACTCGCGCGAAGGCTATTGTTGTTGCGCGTGCTTTCTCGTGAATGTGTGCTCCCTGTGCGCTCCCTGTAGCGTGAACGCTATGATTGTTGACTAACAATGATAGCGCTCACGCTACAGTGGGTTCTCCAGAATTGGCGCTCCCATGCGCTCCCTATGCCTGCGTTCCGTATGCGTGCGCTCCGTGCGACGTGAAGTCTACGATTGTCGTGCGTCGGTTCAGCATGAGTGAGCTCCCTCCGACGTGAACCACACCTACCTCAAATTTTCTGGAAACCTATTGGCAAGAGCGCCAGTCGCCACGGGACACCTAAACATCACCCCCACGAGGAAACTCATCTCAAAGCTTCCTAACCAGTAATATGCAACTCAGTTGCCCAAAGGACCCAGAAAGCAGAGGATATTCTCTTGAAGCCTTGACCAAGAACCCAAACGTGGAAAATCAAAAGGCCGATTCGCTTTGGGCAAAGAACATCTAGGACCCCAAGCTTCGGTAGGCTCCGCACGTGGAGGCCCAAGGACCACACGCGGATGGCCTCAGGACGTGAAACCCAGCGCTCTCAGCCAAGGGCGCTGAACTGGAAAGCGGACTTTGGGTCTGGAAAAATGACTCAGGGATCCTTACATTATACACCTGAACATTGCCTTGTAAATGGTGGTGTCCCTTTATTTTGGTGGAACATGCCATGTTTCAAATGGCAAAATGTATCTTTTAAGGAGCCCTGCTTTACGACTTCTGGGAGAAATGGGTGCCAAACATCAGAAAGACGATCCCTGGATCCGGGGGCTGTCTGAATTTCTGATGTCTCTCGGACCCGGTGGGCATCAGAGCTCGGGGGTTTGTGTCCAGCCACTTTCGGAAGATCATCGGATGGTTCCAACCATGGCTGTTAGCCACTGATTGAAACGTGAACCTTCAACTGACCAGGGTCTATCATGGTGCCAAAGTCACTTCACGATCTTCACGAAAGAGAGACCTTGTTTCAGACCAACAAATCCTTGATCTGTCAAATTGGGATCTTGTTGCGCTGGGAAACAACCTTCGGCATTCTGCAAGCATGCTCTTCCTGGTGCATTTTTTGGGGGGCCAAAAGAGTTGACTCACTGCAACACAATGTCGCAACATGTACGCCAGCAAATGTCCGAGATTGCATTTGGGCAAACTATTGTTCCAAGAGTCTTCCTACTACAGCCTTGGGATTTCGCCCTCTGGTGATTTCGCTTTATTCGGTGTGAAACTACCCAAGGGCAGTTACTCCCAGGGTTTGATAGGAAAATCCTTAAAGATTAGATGTCACCAACTGAACATGTGCGACAAAATCTTGATAATCTTGATGTCCCTCATAAATGGACTATAAAACCATCTCCCCAGTGGAACCCAGCCAAGTTTCTAACCAAACGAACCAATCAAGAGGACTACGCAACTGAACCGAGCCCTTTGAAAGGAAGCAAACGGTTCACTGAGAGCCCGCACCTTCGGCACCTTCGGCATCGGCACCTTAAGCATGGGTGAGAGTCAATCAGTTTCAATCCACTCCGAGCACCCATCCTCTCCAACTCCGAACGAGACAGGCTTGCAACAAGTGGACGGATTTTGCAACCCCCTACTAAAAAATGCAGAACAATAAACAAAAATAACTAAGCGCGTGAACCAGCAATAGTGAAGCTACCATGTCATTACACTGGTAGCTATTTGAAGATACCCCCAGCTCCGGAACGGCTCCCTACCACCAAGCGCTTCCATGCCTTCCGGGTCCGTGGATTTTGGGGGTGGTCCGCCCATTGTCTGCCTGCTGGACCTTTGCCAGCGGTGCTCGCACTGATCCTCAACATCTCACAGATGGGCACTAGAAACAAGAATCAAAAGCCACAGCTCTCGAGCAAAAGACCGCCGCCATGCAGAAAGCATCTGCGAAAAAAGGAGGCGTTGCGTCAAACGTGGCAGTCAAGTAAAAGAACGTTTCCCTGTCTGAAGGCGAGCAAACATGGAACCAACAACTCTCTCTCTCCATTCCGCTCCATTCTCCCCGCGTGCGGCACCCAAGCGCGAGTGCTCGATCTGGATGCCCACTGGCCAGGGCTTGCCGGCCTCCGGCCAAAGGATCTGGGAGAAGTGCTCGATGCACATCGAACCCACACTTCTTTCGGGGGTGCCCAAAGAGATTCTGCTAAACATTCCAGGAGATTCCTCCAAAAACATTGGGTACCGAATTGGGTACCCACACACAGACACACAAACACACCACACACACACACACAATCACACACAGACCACACACACAGGCACACACACACACAGACACCCGCGCGCCCATATCCAATTCCCACCCGCGCAACTATTGCGTGGCATTTCCCGCCTTTCCGACAAACGTGGCTCCGCCTCTGCAAGGATCGCCTTACTGTATTCGAGCGAGTTGCTCCCCTTTGATGCTGGAGCACAGAAACTTGGCGCCGGAAGAAAGGAAAAGGCAAAGGAGCAAAGCTTGGCTGCGGTTGGCCCCCTCTGCGCAAAGTTGAACTATTTGTAGGTCGTTCAATGGAAACCCCAAACTGTTCCCAAAAAGCTAAAGTCTAAAGATCCAACCCAAGAGCAATCAAGCAAAGGGTGGCCACCTGAATTGTGAATACACCCCTTATCTTGGGAGGTGTCACATGTCTCCTTCAATCTGGGGTCGGCTCCAGGGTTTCGACACCCATCTTCCAGCCGGTTTTGATCTCGAAGGGGAAAATGTGGGCTTGTGTGCCTCGCACTAGGAAGGCCCCCAAACTTGGTCTCCTGTGAAAGTGCCCTAAAAACTGGTACCCTCAAAACACGTGTCATACCTGGAGATCAAGGGCAGGAATCAATTATTGTTCCGTGGTATTTGCCGCATGTTTGAAAAATAGATACTATCTGTTTTTGAGCCGAAACGGAGCAATTTACCTCAGCGCCAGCAGAATAGATACTTAGATACGTACCTGTGTGGCAAGAATAGATACGGAAAGAAGCGGATAGATACGGGCAGTCGCAAAATAGATACCAATAGATACGCGCGCAATACATGTTCATTAAAAATAAATACGTTTTTAGATATACTTCAAGAAAATGGATACGCCAAGCTTTGTTTTAGATATTCATAGATACGGGAAATAGATACGGCGGGCAACAAATATTCAAAAGAAACTCAAGAATAACTTCTGCATGGCCTTGGGACCACTTGATATTGCGCAAGGACAAAGCTGGCAAACGTGAGGACTAGGTACCGCAAGCGGAAAGAAACATGGCCTTGCGCGTAAAGTTGGCTCCTCGGAAGACGCGCAAACCTTTGCTTGACAGAAGCGGCGACGGAGCGGTCTCAGAGCAGTTTTGGCAACGGTCCAGTGACACCCCCGCACGCGTTGCGTTGATTCGCAACCATCAAAGGCTGAACCCTCTGCGAACTTCCGCAGGGCCGACCTTCAAACATGAGCGAACTGATTGACTAGTTCGCAGATTGGCTAGATGACCAACCAAACTGGCTCATGAGCCAAATGATAGGTAAAAGTCGACATAGCTCAGCGGCTTACGGTTTCACTTTGGATTCACCAAGTAAGCTAGGCAGCCACCAGCTATAAACAGAGCATTCAAGAACTGCCTGGCTCGCCAAGTGGCTACCTCGCAAACCTCGCCTTGTTGCGTTGGCAATCAGCATTCACTTACATTGCGTAGGAGCCCACAATTGGGGCCATTCTTCCCCAAGCCATTACTGATGGCGCGCACGCGCGTGCGTGCGTGCGTGCAAGCGTGCGTGCGTGCCTTGCTGCGTGCATGCACTGGTGCGTGCGTGCATTGGTGTGTGCGTGCATTGGGTGCGTTCGTGCATTGGTGCGTGCGTGCAATGGTGCGTGCGTGCATAGGTGCGTGCGTGCATAGGTGCGTGCGTGCATGCATGCGAGCGAGCGAGCGAGCGAGCGAGCGAGCGCGCGCGCGCGCGCGTACGTGCGTGCGTGCGTGCGTGAGTGCAGGCGCGGGCGGGTGGCGGGCGTGCGTGCGTGCATGCGTGCGTGCGTGCGCGCTGGCACGTGCGTGCGCGCGTGCGGGGGCGGGGTGCGCGCGCGTGCGCGCGTGCGTGCGCGCGCGTGGGGCGCGCAGCGAAAAGGGGGCGGGTGGGGTGGGTGGTGGTGGGTGGGTGGGTGGGTGGGGGGGTGGGTGGGTGGGGTTGGGTGGGGTTGGGTTGGGTTGGGTTGGGTTGGGTTGGGTTGGGTTGGGTTGGGTTGGGTGGGTGGGCGGGCGGGCGGGCGGGTGTGGGTGGGTGGGTGCGTTGGCGGGTAGGTGGCTGTATGGTGTGTGTGTGCGCCATCCCATCCCTTCCTCCATCCCATGTATCATTGCGTCCCACGGACCCACCCATCCATCCACCCATCCACCCGCCCACCGCATCCCATCCATCCATCCATCCGTCCATCCATTCATCCATCCATTCATCCATCCACCCTCCCTCCCTCCCTCCCTCCATCCCTCCATCCCTCCATCCCTCCATCCCTCCATCCCTCCATCCCTCCCTCCCTCCCTCCCCCTCCCTCCCTCCCTCCCTCCCTCTCTCCCTCTCATCCGCCATCCATCGCGTCCATCCATCCAGCCCGCGCGGCGGACATGCGAGGCCGGCGTGCGGAGCACGAAAACAGATACGATTAGATACGCAAATAGATACGAGTCTTTGAAATACGAGCTGTTTTTAAAGATACGATGCCAAGATCGATACGGAATCTATTTTGTTTACATGTTTGCTTGTGGGAATCTATGTTTCATAGATATTATGAAAATATACTTTTTGGATACGCATGCGTATATGCAGTGATTCCTGCCTGGGAATCTAAAAAATATATGTTCGATCTCTAGGGATGATATAATCAAAACCCGGTACATAAATGGTCTACCCAGAACCATGTAAAGAACTAACTGTCCCTTACTAACCTTCATCTACCCGGGTTTTGACAGTGGCTCACGTCTCGAAAGCGAGACCCGAGTCTCCGAGCTGAGATGTTCGTCATCCGAAAGGGCCAGGGCGAAGAGTCCAGCAGCAGCAGCGGCATATTGGCCGACCTGCCGAAGACCCGGCATATTTGGCTCGTGTGTTTTTTGGGAAACTTTTGGAGAATCATAGCAGACCAGTAACTTTGACGGAATCTCAAACAAATCCCGGATAACCCGTCGTTGGGTGTGTCCTTTTTCAGGATTCCCCCCCAAAAAAGAAAACAAAACCAAATAAATGTGGTATAATGTGGTTTTCCTTTGGGTTTCCCTCAAAAAACCAACCAAACGGGGCTTCCCCTTCAAAAGGACCGACCCATTCTCGGCCAAAGGACCTGGCACCATCCCGGCGCCTCCAAATGGCCTCGAGCACTTGAAGCCAAGACTCGAAGAAGTCGTCCCGCTGCGCCTGACGCTCCGCTCGCGCCGCTCGAGGCGCCAAAATCCACCTTTGGGGTGTGAGTTGCTTTGCTTTTTCCAGGTGACCCAATGTTTGCGGTTTTAAATATGCAAACAAAAAAGGAAGACCGAAGCCATTTGCGGAGGGGACGTTCAAAAAAAACACGGACACCACCCAACGGATCCTTATTTTAACCCCAAAGGAGTTATGTTTGTTTTCAAAAGATAGAGGAGCCTCAAAATATGAGCCCGTTGCTCTGATTTGGGTGTTTCTAGAAAACCCCACAGGAGCCTTTTATTTACCCCAGTGGATCCATTTACCTGGTACAGGCAGGCAACCAAAACAACCTCCGTTTACAAACCAAGAGGACAATTTATGGTTTCCTACTATAGTGGTAGCTGGGATTTATACTCTGGATTTATGCATGGTGAAGAATTGCCAACAAAAAATACGGTTTGCTATCTGCGCGAATTTGGAGACCCGAATGAAAATAGTGTTCTTTTTGGAGGATAAGCATTCACAAGCATGCACCAGCTTGAGCCTTATTATAATAGTGAAACAGAGCCGCCTTTGTCTCTCCAAGAGTGGATTCCTCGCCGGCTTTCGCAGGGAATACAAAAGAGGATACCATCTACAAAACCCCAAACCCATGCGAGTCGCAGTCAACGCCTGATATTGAAATGGCGTACCCAAAACCTTCACTGGCCCAAATAGCTCGTGTGTTGCACAAAATCAGCGACCTCTGTGGGTAGTGACCGAAACTTTAGAGCTTTCCCTGTGAACCCGTCCAACAAAAACAAGTCTTCTGAGACAACCCTAGGATACTTTTTTGTGGACATCCTACAGGGCCTTCACAGCGGCCCAACACGACCCCTTTCTGCGCTTTTCCCTCAACTAGGAAAAACACCGCACATGGCTTCGGCGTGGTGTCCATTTCAAACCCAACAAACCGGAGTTGTCCGATGGTCGTTCTGACCCAGAACACCTGGGTGCAAAAACAATGGCAGATTCGCGCAAGGACGAAATCACTTGATGGAAAAGTTTCTGGCCCCCTGGTTTTAATTGGTGTTGGAGCGGCACCCGCTTCTCCTCCCGAAAGCAACTGTAGGCTGGCAATATGTATGTTAGTTACTCATATGCGTGCCCATTTTTGTAGTGGTTCCCCCCAAATGGTGGTTTTCCTCTTGGTTTCCCTTTAAAACCACCCAGAAAGAGGTACTCAAAAAAGGACGAGCCACGCCCTTCTTGTGCTATGGCCAAAAATCCTGGTCCTGGGAAGCTGCACATCGGTCGTTTTGCGGTAAAGGTCGTTTGCTTCTCAACAGGGGCTTGATCAACATTCCGTTCAGCCCCAAAATGACCATGGGTAGCTTTTCCCATGTGGGACATATCATCTTTGTGTTTTTTCAACCAATGGGATCATCCCATGTTCATCGGACCTTTTGATCAACCCCAATCGTGGACCTGTTGTCATAAGAAAAACCTACAAAGCACTGTGCCAATTTAGGGGAGCCCAATTTGATAAACTCCATGAGAGGGGTTTAGAGGCTCTGCAAGGTGAAATTCAAGAGAAGCCATCTCTTTAAAACTCAAAATGATACCGAGACACAAGAGAGGCCCATGTCTTGTCCGGTTTGCCTCAGGGGGCGGCTGCTGGCAGCGCCCCGCCGCAGCATCTAGCGCCTAAGACAACCGAATCGGCACGGTACTTCCCCTTCGGAACGAATGGTTCAAACTTCACCTTTTGGAGAGTCACCTTAATGAAGCGATGTTTGAAAGCAACTATTGGAATCCTGTCCATCTCGGTTGGACCGACTCTGTGTGGATGGAGCCCACAACATGGGCGGTTTCTATTTGGGGAGCCCACCACATGGGTGGTTTCCATTTGGTTTAACTCCCAAAAAAGAATAATCAGTTGAGGGATGGTCCGATTCGATTCTAACGCCTAATGCCCACGTGTTCCTTTAGAGGGGGTTCACAAAAGGCTCCAAACAGGCATCCCCCTGCAATTGCAAGACAGAGTTCTTTTTTTGAGCTGGCACCGCCAATTATAGGGATCCGCTAAAAAAAAGGCACACCCACAATGACGCCCACCAGAAATCTGGCCAAAGAGCGAGAACTTGGATGTCTTACACCTTCTTCGGGTGTCAAAGGAGAACCAGCAGGAAAACCCTCCAACACTTTTGGGAAGGAAACCCGTCACCCCAGTTGTGTTTGGTGCCCCTCCCATGGTGACACGAATCCAAGGCGCAATACGCAGCACGACAGCCATGGCCTTGGGTGTGAGATGGATGGCACAACCTCCCTCTCTTGGTGGCTAGCCCGGTGAGGCAAGAACCAGGGCTTCAAATCCAACTCCAAAGCAGCAATCCAAATCGAGATTCTTGGGCTGAGGGGATTTATGGAGCCCAGTCGGCCGATCTAGCTCAACAAGTTCGGGATTCAGCCTGAAACGCCTGTCTGTTGAACCCGGAAAACGACACCAGAGGTGGTGGTCGACCTCTTTCTGGCCGTTTTCTCGGTTTCACTGCCTTCTGCAAGATGTCACCTTCACACGCTAACGCGCACGCACACAAACAAGCAAAGCAGCCAAACAACAGAACAGAACGCAAAAGAACAAGCAAAACAAAAAAAGTACCAATGCTCTAGGTGCCGGGCATTGACAGGTCCAAATAGGCATGACCCCTTTGGCGGAGCAAGCCTCAGAAAGAACTCGGCGCAAGTGTTTCAAGCATCTGACAGGGCTCCCATAGTGTTTTCTCTTTTTGTTCTTCTTCTTTTTCTGGTGTTTTCCTCCCTTTACACCAAGGTGGTTCCCGGAATACTTCCCGGGAGCTGGAAACAAGCCGCTTGCGTTCTTTTTGCTCAAGAAACACCCAGTTGCCAGCGAACAAACACACACTACAATAGTTACAAATCAAAGAGACAAGTTACAGGGAAAACTCGCGCGGAATACTCCCCCAGCCCGATTGATGGCGGTCCCCTCCAACACTGGTGTCGTGCTGTTTACTCTTCACGACAGGCGCAGATCCTTTTTCAGCCATGCACTTTTTCACACACTATCGAATCTTTACTTTCATGCACAAATGCCACGCACTCACATAGAGTCAACATTGCCAGCTCAACTTGATCCTGGAGGGCGAATCTCAAAAGATTGCAAAATATTCAAAGTGGCAATGCGCCGTTGGCGTGTTTCACTCGTTGTTCCCCACCAGGCCCACGAAACACCTGGAAAAAGGGAACACAATCTGGGCCACTGGAGACCGGCATGGCCACCAGGAAGAAAGGTCTCAAGAGCAAACAGCCGAAGTGGGGATGACTCAGTTGCTTTTCTTTCGTGGCCCAATGCATTCCAAACCCACGTCAAATGGCAAGCTGATGTGCCCTATGGGCCAGCTTGGGAGGTTTAAAACAAAGGTCTTGAGCTAAGCAAAGGCCGAATTCGGCAGAGTTCAGCTCTGGGCGCAGCCCGCTTCGTCCTCTTCTCCTTGCTTCTCCTCGCCATCCTTCGGCCCAGGGCCGACGCCGGGTGTCTGGACCGCCTGTGGCTTCAGCACGGGCGAAACCTTCGGCGCCACTGGCGCCTGCTGCTGGGGCACCGGCACCGGCATTGGCGCCTTGGGCTGCGCCGCTTGCGCCGCTTGCGCCGCGTGCGCGGCTTGCGCCACCTGCGCGGCTTGCGCCACTCGCGCTGCTTGCACGGCTTGTGCCGCCTGCGCCTTGGCCTTTACTTGAGCCTTGGGCACAGCCTTGGCGGCCTGAAGCTTGGCCTGCATGGCCTTGGCTGCGGCGGAGCGCGCCTGCAGCTGGTTGAGGGCACCCAGCTTCGCCTGCATGTCCGAGAGGCTGGCGGCCTGCAAGGCCTGATAGGCCTCCAGCCCGCATCCACCGCATCCGCCATGGCCTGCGTAGGGGTTCGCCCCATAGGGGTAGCCCCACTGGTTGGCTCCGTAGCCGTACCCCTGTCTGGCCGCCGCGGCGGCTTGCATCTGCGTCATGGCCTGCACGTAGGCAGCCGCCTGCATGGCATGGGCTTGGTTCATCGCCGTGCTGGAAGCAGCCGCCTGTAGCAGTGACATGTAGTTGGCGGAGCCGGAGCTTTGAGCCTTCGGGACCGCTGTGGATCCTCCCGGCCCCAGGCCGCTGGCGCTTGGGCCGCTCGGGGGGGTTGGGGGCGCCTTGGGCTCCTTCTCCAACTTCGCCATGCGGCCGAGCCACTTCTCAAAGGCCCGAGCCTTCTCCTCCTCAGTCTCTGGGACCTGCTCTGGTGCCTCTTCCCGCTCCGGCCGCTCCGGCCGCTCCGGCCGGTCTGGGCGATCCGGCCGCTCCGGGCGGGTCTTGCGGCGCTCCTCGCCGTTGCCTTCTTCCTTCTCTCGGTTGGTGGCGATGCGGATGAGCAGGATCGAGTCCTTGTTGTCCTTGTCCACAATGGGGTCGAGGTCCGAAGGCTTCTGAGTAGACACTGGAAGTTGAGCAAGACTCAGCAACTCCGCCTTGGAATACCGAATAACCTTTGGTGCATTGGCCTTCAGCATCTTCAGCAGCGTGTTGCCGCCATCCTCTTCCTCCGAATTGCTTTCTCTGCCTTCATACTCAAATCCTTTCTTATGCTTTCCTTTACTTTTTCCTTTGCCCTTCTCACCTTCCTCCTCCCGGAACCGGCGCTCGCCCTTGCCTTTTCCTTTGCCTTCCTTTCCCTTGTCGCCCTCCTCTCTCTCCCTCTCACCGGCCGGGGCTTTCCTGACCCAGGCGCCTTCTCCCTTCTCCCGACGCGGGGCCATCGACACGAAAGTCGAGCGAGCCGTCTGGACCCACAATGGCCTGAGCCTAATGGCTGGCAACATCACTTTGCCGTCATGAAGGAAGACACACTCACCCAAGAAAGCCCAGTAGGTTTGTTGGCCCGAGGGCCCCCGAACAAATAAATACGCAGAGAGTCAAATCTTGGAAGAGCGAACCATGTCTCTGGCGCCAGCATACCGACCTGAAAAAAGTGCCCTGATGTAAACTTCCCATTTGAAGGTTTCTCAACATGGTGGACATCCTGCTGGTATTTCAAGGGACACCCGAAGGAATCCAACCACTTTATGGACTCCTACTTTGACCACCCCCCCAATTTGGATTTACCGCCCAAAAAATGGAACTTCACCAACCCCCCCCCCAGCCCCCGGCCCCAATTGGGATTTCACCCCAAAAAAGGCAACTCACTTGAGAGAGAGCTGCATCTCCAGCACTGATGCCACGGTCTGGAGGCGCTGTGTAGCCTGTCCGGAACAGGCGCCAAGATCGCCACGAGAGGAGTCACGCGCATGGACCAAAACAGTAAAACGCACCACCGAACTCAGAAACACAACGGAGTGAGCCCCCCAGAAAAGGTTTCAAAGTGGTGCAGGATTTTGGCCATCCACACTAAGGGAAAACCATGCATGGTTAAAAAACTGGGGGCAAGAATCCCCATAGTTACCCCTAGTGGCTTGCCTGGAAGCACTGGGAAGGGAAACCAAAAGGATCTCTTGAGGCCTCGATT